GCAAAGGGGGCAACCACCAGGACAAAGCCAGAAGCAGAACTCCTGCAACTCTCGCTCTCTCGCACTCTCTCTCTCTCTCTTTTTCTTTCTCTCTCTCTCTCTCTCTCTCTCTCTCTCTCTCTCCCTCTCTGCAGCCCCATCGCTGCGCCCGAAGTTTATAGTCCTATCCTTGATATCTCCGGGTGACTCTTGCTTAGTCGTGCCACATTGCGTCCATGTTGCGTGCAACAAACCTGAATGTTGGCCCCAAAGGTGGCACACTCCATCGCATGTCGCTCGAACCTGGCTTCATGCATCAGCCAGCAACACGCGCCTCGCACTTGGCAACAATCTTCAGCACGCCGTTCTCGAGGAAAGCGTTGCCCCTCCCATGCGCAATGCAGAATTATTAGAGCTATCGGCCGAGCTTGGTACAAGCCCCCCCCCCCCCCGTTCATGATGCTAGGAGAACGTGGAGTGAACGCGTGGTTGGAGTGCGACAGTACAACTGGCGGCGATGCTTCTGAATTTTGAGACATGCTTTCCTGAGCCCCAGCAAGCCTTTCAAGCTAGACCGCAAATTTTTGAGAGGGCTATCCGGCTGTTGAAAATGCGTATGTCACGTTCATACTCCCGCCCACCCACTGACATAGGAGCTGGCAAAGAACAATGACAAAGACCCCTCGATCACGTTCCCGACAAACCCGCAAGCAGTCCATAAACGCTGAACACGAAACCACGCACAAGTTTGCACGCACTCTTGACTCTGAAGCAGCCTACGGCCACAAAAACACAACAAAGAATCTTGTGCCAATGGGCCGCTTGCGCTGCCTATGGGTCCCGCCCGCGCCACCCTGCAACTATGGAAAGCCAGGGGCCAGTCAGGTTCCTCAGCTGGAGGGCACCTTGCAGGCCAGGCCTGGCGAATCTCAGCTCGCCCTGCAGCGCCTCCCTGCGGGCCTTGACTCGCATGTGACCCAAGGCCGCAGGTGAGGCTTGAGGGCCATGATTGATACAAGCTGGCCATAGGCTGTTTTGCCTCAACACTCAAGTGTGTGGGAGGGAAACTGGAACAAGGGGATGGTTTGGAGTTGCAAACTCACTACATTTGACCTCGGTGGTGTCTCCAGGACCCAAGCCTACCAGATGCAAACACGATATGGATTTCTAAAGAATAGCAAATGGCTTACGGAGAGCCCGCGCAGTGAGAGAGAGAGAGAGGGAGGGAGAGCGAGAAGAGAGAGAGAGAGAGAGAGAGAGTCAGCAAGGCAGAATTGCAGAAAGACAAGAAAGACAAGAAAGACAAGAAAGACAAGAAAGACAAGAAGAAAGAAAGAAAGAAAGAAAGAAAGAAAGAAAGAAAGAAAGAAAGAAAGAAACAAAGACGGAAATGAATAAATAAATAAAGAAAGAACAAAATAAAGAAAGAACGAAAGAAAGAGAGAGAACAACAAAACACACATGAGGGCCTGCACTTAGATTTACATGCAAAGGAGCAGGGAGATTCGCAGAGAGATTGCAAAGGGAGAGAGAGAGAGAGGGAGACTACACAAGGCGCTTGTTGTCAAAGGGAAAGCTATGAAAAGCGAAGCCCGAAGACGCATCCAGCCCAAGCAGCCCAATTGGATTCATCCAGCTCTGTGTTGTTGAATTCCTGTCAGACATGAGGCGGCGGCGGCCAAGTTAAAGGGGTAATGGGCCCCTATGTTTTTCAGGGATTGCGTTACCAATGGCAATGAACCAATGCCATGGGGTACACGGGGCGCTCCCAGATGGAGAAGCAAGGAGATTCGCGGCGCTTGCCGATGGAAAGCTGGCATTTGGACAAAGACCAGCGGACGGAGTAGATCATTGCTAGAGGTGGCCTTGAAGAGCAAATAAGAGCAACAGGCTAACCGTCGGAGAAAGATTACCATCAAAATCAAATCCTAAAAAGCCCACCATCTCAAAACCCAACAAACTCAAGGTTCTAGTGTTCGAAGTGTCTGAATCTAAACTCCTTGCCATCCTGAAAGCTGACAACTGTCCTCCGACCACTCCAATGCGCCCAGCACGCTTCGTGCGCTCTCGCACGGCTTGTAGTAAGACTTCTCAGGCTTGTTGTGGCCTTGGCGCCAAGTCACGGCCTACCAAACCTGTCATCTGGGCATGTGTCAAATCGAGGCGAGGTGGAGAGTTAGCAACTCCTGAGAAGAGATGCTTCCACGAGATGCTGCCAGAATTGAGTTTGTTCGTTGCCCTGCAACTTTGCAACCCATTTCTCACTCCAATCACAGGTGCTTGCGTTTGGTTCTTCGGATAATTTTGGCTGTTGGGTCCCCCTGTTCTCCACTTGGCTCAGGCGGGAGCAACGTTTGGATGGGGCTGTTCTGCGCTTGCCCAGCAGCCACGTTGCCTCCAACAAACACTGATACTGACTTCCTTTCTTGCTTGAAGAAAACTAAATGTTCCATTCCAAGGGGCTGGCCGCAGGCCAAACAAGCGGTCAAAGCCTACACCCGCGTGCTTGCAACGCCCTGCTGACAAGCGGCACCTCCCGGTCCTCGGCTGAAGGCCCACACTGCCGTCTAATTCCTTTGCCTTCATCCGGTTCATGAACATCCCACAGGCCCGTCAAAGATTGAATGATCATAGGTCCCTGACCCTCGCAAAAGTCATGGACTAAAAGGCTGCATCATGGTGAGCTCGCTTGATCTCCTGTATTGCAACCTGCGCAAACCTACTCCCGACTGCTTCACATTCTCCCCACAATTTGCAGGAAACCAGCTCTGCTGCAGTGTGTCACTCCATCTAGGTTGAACGAACGAAGCCTTGAATCTAGAATTAAGATTGCCAAAGGGTTGTTACAGGGTGATCAAGTTGTAAGCCATTTCAGGGTTCCTTGCCAAAAAACAACGGCTTTACAACAACATTGTCTAAATCAGCTGGCAAAACTGATGCTTGACCGGCCTAAACATATCCACCGGACCCAACTTAACTTGAGGCTAGGGCCCGGGCCAAGGGAGGCCCCAGGACGAGCCTTGCGACCGGGGCGCTTCGGGGAGCACCAGGCACCGCAGCCCAGGCAGCACGCGGGGGAGCCCAGCGACGCCGAGCTCGCCAGCCCTCGTTTCGGTGCGGGGCGGAGATGGGTGGAGCTGTGGGGCCCCCAAAACAGCTTGATTCGATTAACGCACATGCTGCAAATTGTATAACATACGTATATATATATAATCTATATGTTGATGTATGTAGATTATTCATAGGCCGGTTCGATTCATCCAGCAAATTCAGAGGACGCCCAAGGGGATCCTATTCTTGCTGCCGGCCAAGCCAAGTGTCGCAGAGGGTCAGGGCCGCTGCTCTTCAGCTTCGATAGCTTGGGCTTGATCTGCATCCTCAGGTCTCTGCGCTTGCCACCAGCATCTACCGTTGGGAGGTTCCCTGAAATGCCACGCTCCAGGATTGTTGGAAAAGAGGGCAAGTAATATCCGCCTGTGATTTCTTGTTGCTTTCTCTCGCTCTCTCTCTCTCTCGCTCTTTCTCGCCCTCTCTCTCGTTGGCAAAGTACCACTGCCCAGGTCAATTTGCCCTGCCCTGCCCTTTTTTCTTCCCTGATCCTCAGCTTTCACAAGGGTTAGCCTGCAGTGTTGTCTTTCAAGCCGGGCCGCAACAGCACGCCGCCGTCTTTCTTTTTGCAGGTGCCTGCGTCATGCGAACTGGGTCCCAGAATCCGACGTCAAAAGACGAATCCAGGGAGTCGCAGAACTTGCTTGGCCCAACTCTCTCCTTCTCGCACTGGCAAGGTGTGGCAATTCCGAGCCTGACGTGCAGGAAGTGTTGGAGCCTGCGGCCAGTGAACTGTCAAACCCTGAATCGGCGAGCCCAAAGTGCAACACATAATGGGTCCCGGCCGCTTGGACTTAGCCGCACTTTAGCCGCGGCCGGACTCCTGAAAAAACGCACCTGCCCTCTCAGGCCATGCGGCCGGCGAAGCATGCAGGATCAGTCTCCGGGTTTTTTCATCCACAGTTGCCCTTATATACCTTTCCTCAAAATGCTGACGAGCTGCCGAGGACCGTCACGATGCCTCGGACGGTCACACAGACACACACAAACAAGAGACTCAGAGACACAGAGACGCGCGACTTTGGTCGAACAAGTTTGGGTAGTTGATGGCATCTCCAAGTGGAACCCCTCCCGGAAGATTGATTTGAGAATATGTGCTGACATCAGCCAGGGGGATTCATCCTTTGACCCATCTGAGGCGACGGCACAGGCACCATGCGCTCCAAAAGGCTGGTGCCATGCCTTCAGCAACAATTGATGACTCGACGGGGTGCCATCGAGGGCAATGTGTTTCGGGCTAGAAAGCCAACAAGGAAGCGCACACGTTATTGGCATTCCCCGTTGCAAACATTGTGGCACAGTCTGCCAATTGCTTCCCATATGGCGATGCCTCAAAACTAGGCGCGCTTGGGGAGACGGTTCTAACAGGAAACATGAAACGCACCATTTGGGAGGATTATCTATACTGTCCTCTCAAGTCCTATGTCCAGTCAATTTCTCTCTCTAATCCGCATTGGTAAGAAATGGTAAGTATGGAAACGGCTACCATGATGCTCATGGAATCTGAATCCTCTTTCAAGCTCCAAAGTGTGTTTTCAGGACATCAGGAGCAGCTTAGCCCCAGTGGACGCCTTGAGCCGCGCAGCAAGCAGGCCCCAGACTTGAGCCAAGGCTTGCGGCGGACAGAATGACTCCGGATTACTCAAACAAGTGGATGAATAGATGGGGTCTCGCTCACAAGAGGCACCCCATATGCAAACTTCTCACGGGATAGTTATCTTGAGGCACAGTCACGGGCATGGACAAGGGGTTCCCCATAGCCATAGTCTTCTACATCGATGATTGTGAAGGGAGAGTAAAGATGTTGAAAGCCGTCAATTGATTGCAAAGGGCAGCTAGATTTACGATTCAGGTATCTCCCGATCGTTGCCTGGAGACTGGAGACTCGCAGCACGGCTCAAAGGCCGGACTCATTCGTCTCTGAGCAATCAAAGCGGCCGTGCAATTTGAGGTCCTGCGCTGATTAACTAAAGACTTCTGTCACACTGCCGCGAGGTGATACCAAGAACCTGACACTCTGCCCTGCCTGTACACTGTAGCATAACTGGGAGATGGCAAAAAGCATGCCCTCCATCAATGTGCAAGGTCAAATCAAATGAGCGCCCAGCAATGGGTATTCAGGTTGTACTTTGACCCTCCATGTTGGATACTCCTGCTGCTTTCTTTCCTAAGTTGTTTCGCGCGTCTGCACGCCACTCAGTAGCTGCGTCCGAAAAGGGTCCGCCTCTTCACGCCATTCTTATTGCTGCCTTGGCCGACTCCAACGCAACAGAACCGCCCAAAGCAGCTGCTCTGCAGGCAACGATGCCCAGGTGGCAACCACCACAAGCAAAACCTCGACATAAGCTAGCAAATGCCAGAGACCAACACAAATTGAACCAAACTCAGCAGATGCCCACAGCCCAAAACTTGGACGACGGCTTGTGCAATCTGGGTTGATGCAGGTCTTCGGGCAGCTCTTGTTGTACTTCTCCTGCAGGTTCCAAAGTTGCGCCCGGCACAATGCGAAGAGCACATCCACGCCCATACAAATTACCTTCTCCCGGCATCACAAAGTTCCCTTGCAGCCCGACTTGCAAACCCGGTTCAGGATGCTGAGGGATGGTCATCCCCGCTTTGCCTTATTCGCTGGGGGGGTACAGTTAGTCTGCCTGCACCAACGGAACCCGCCCCATCACATCCCCAGAGTCTATCTCCTCATGGGGCACGCACAAGCTTTTCGCGCCCATCTTGAGACCGCCAGCCACCTCGACTTCTTGGGCCTCAAGCTCCGAAGCTCTGATGCTTTCGTGTCGGAAGCCCGTCTTCCCTTCTGCTTTCTGTGTGACTGGAGGGATGCCTTCCCAAGAGTGAGTGACAAGGCTGGGAACTTGAACTCCGTAATGCCAAATGCTGGGCAAGCTTGGGGATTAGGTCACTGACCCTAAGCATGTCTGAGCTTCGGGCCTCCTCCTTCGACTTCTCCTGCAACCAAACAAGCTGGGAGGCCAATGTGGCAAATGCAAACCTTGCCTACCTATGCAATGCTCAAATTTGCAGCAGTACCCTCACGGAACAAAGAACAAAGAATAGCTTGCACTATTAAGCTGTAACTCGAAGACAAGCCTGTACACAACATGGCCAACATGCAGCCAAGCTCGCATCCCGAGAAGTGACACCAGGGCAACAGGCCAACAGGCATGTTAAGTCTAAGTGTTAAGGTGCAAATGCTGCCTTTCTCACACAACGAGGCCTTGATCTTGTCCTCGCACTCTGGGTCTCCGCAGAAAGGAACCAACACCAGCTTCCCGGAGTTCAGGTTCGGGCTGAAGTCCTGAAAGCTCTGCTCCGGAACCCGAGCTCCAACATTCCCTCAAACAGCGGGCACTCATCTTTTGCGTCCTTTCGCAAAGAAAGGACATTGCCAAGTCAAGATATCCAACGCGCTGCTGGCCATACGCCATCAGTTTTCACCAATGATCATGATTCATGCACGCTGCCATCTTGTGCCTGTCCTTCCACTGGTCAATCGAGGCCAGCCTGCCGTCTCGCTCCGCCAGCGCGTTGGAGTACATCTCCTTGTGGATTTCGTCCAAAGTTCCTGAGCGCAAACTGCCCGCTGGACAACGCCTCGTCAGCGTGTCAGCATTCATAAAGCTCTATCCAAGCCAAGAGGGGCTTACGAAGTCCAGCGGGCTCCCAACTACCCCCGAAAATGCAGGCCAGGCCAGCTGGCAAGCCTTTCCTCAGCTGAGGCACTCCTGACGTCTTCCACCATCGTCTTATCCTGACCATTCCGTTTGCTGGCCTGGCGCGATGCTGCAGGATGGGGATGCAAAGGCATTCACACACACACACACATACATATATATATATATATACACATACACATATGGTATATGATATATGCTACATGTATGTGCATCTATATATATATGTACATATGTATATATATATATGTACATATGTATATATATATATGTACATATGTATATATATATACATGTATATATATAGGGGCTCAAATTGGACAAGCAATGACCTTCCTCCTGACTGTGCTCCTTTTACCCTTCCACCCCCCGCCCCCCCGAGTGCTCACCCAAATTGTTGTGGAGTTGCGGGGGCCGCCTAGAAGGACTTCATAGGCCGTGTTTTGGTTTTCAACTTGAGAACACACATCTTGTTGGAAGCCCAACAAAAGCACGCATGGCCAGCGCCTTGGGATCCAGGATGTTCCTCTTGGACATGACGAACTGGCCTCCCCAGTTGCTTCGGGCGGCAATCGCGCGTTGGGTAGCGGTTGCGGGGCTTCCAAACGGTGCAAGAGACCATCAACCGAAATAGGTCAAACCTTGATCTCCTCAATGTGCAGGATTGGTTTCTTCCCGCTTCTTGCCTTCATCTCTCATGGCACAGCATCCCACGTCTCCCCCCCTTTGCCTTTCTGGATGTCTAGCGGGCCCAGATCGATCCGCAACGGCACCCCTTTCATCTCCTTAGCCGTCCAGCGCCATGAGCAAGCAGGGATGGCAATAGTTCCCTTTTGTCCTTCTGATGGGGAACCAACTGGACAAAAAGGGTGCTCTTCATTTTGAAGTGGGGAAGCAAACGAAAGCGTCAAGAAGAATCAAACAAAAGAAAGCTCGAAGCCTGTGCTGACATAGCTGGGTCTCCCAGTTGTTGAATTTCCAGCCGGGGGAGTAGGTGTTGTCGTCATCCAGTAGTGTGCGGATGCCCGCCGCTTGCAGCGCTGCGCAGTACTTCTTGGACACCTCGGCACATAAGTCGATCGGCCAGGCTCGGTTCCCATCGATTCTTGCTAGTAGGGCCTTGCCGAAGGTAGCCGCAGTAACAACAACAAGGAATCGATTGGAAAGTATTGGAGGGCTTCTGAATTGTTGGCGGTCATTGCCGCTCACATAGAACAAGCATGAGCCAAAATGCATGTGTATATATCTATATATAATATCACATATGTGTACAATATAATATTCCCTGAGATCTACTGTTTCACCTCCAAGTGGCCTCTGCCAAGGTCTTCTTCTCTTCCTCAGTGCTATTGGCCTTGATGCCCACTGGCACGATCACCACCTGCGAGCTGTGGATTCACTTCCGAGTTGCAAGCCCGGGCAACTCAGGGAGCACTGGATATCGCTGTTGGCCGTTCTGTGCAGAAGCAAATGCCCAACAATGGACAAATTGCAATAATTACAAAATCCGGGACCTCCAATTATTGCAATTGTTGTCATTATTGGAATTGATTTCCAATAAGTGCAAAACCCGGAAAGCAATTGGACCTGATACCTTTTAGCTGGACAATTCGGACAGCAATCCTGGCCGGCGGTGGTGAATGCTCCGCAGGCCTGGATGCCCGCCACGTTGGGAGGAAGCACCAGGCCCTTGTCGTCGCCATGCACCATGACCTGTTGAAAATTCACCAAGGACAGCCAAATATAGTAGAAGCATCGAGTTGCTAACTAGCCTTGTCTTTAGTCCTCCTCAAGCCAGCTCCTCAACTGCAAACATACTTTGGACCAACAAAGGCACCTCCCACCAACACCCCGAGGACCCTGCCATGACGCCGATGGTGCGCTGGGTGAGGCCCCAAGAGTTCTGGTAGGCGAAATCGAACTCTTTGCCGCTGGGGTCCTTGGGGTCCTCAACGACCGGCCAGCCCGATTCGACACCACCGCGTGTTCGTTTGAGAATTCGTGGCCTTGAGGCTGCCTGGCAAGGGAAATCAGTACGCGTACCCCTGACATGCCAAAAGGTATAAAGCCTGGAATACCCCTTGCCTCACAGTGCCACCAGTTGACGCGGAGCATATGGTTGAGGAGTCACATACCAGCGGTACGTAATTAATTCTTTGCCCTAATGGCCAAGGGCCTGGATACGGACCTGGCACAAAAGCTTCCGTGCATCTAAATGCGCACACACACACACATATACATATATATATATATGTATATATATATATATATTATCGTATGTACATATATAATCAGTCTTTTCCTCCCACCACTCAAGGCCGCCAAACGGCCTGGAAGGTGATGTTGAACATCTTGGAGAAGTTTTGTCCTCACATCCAGGCTTAGAGAACAGCGGGCGTGGCGCGAAGAGGTCTCACAAGTGGGTCGATCCATTGCGCAGCTGGGTGCCGGACCCAAATGGTGCGACGTCGCCTCGGGGAAACCCACTCGGGACATGCAGTGGCACCCTCGGAAGCGCAGCAAAACTTCAACGCTTTGCGGAGCTGCGGTTCTTTGTTGCCACTTCGCTGCAAAGGATCTCGTCAACAAATTGTCTGTCACGCCCGGCTGCAGGCCACCAATTCTAGTGCTGTTGAGTGTCTCCCTGAATCGCTCGCCCGGTGGCCGGAATGAAGGCCTGCAGAACAGCGAAAGCGGGAGCTGGCCCAACCTCAATAAACTTGGAATCGGTCAAGGGACCATCACTACAACATACAAACTTTGACCAAAAAACACCTCGGAACTCGAGAAGTATTGCGGATCTCCGCCAGAAGCTTGCCTAAATTGTGCTTTCCCTACGTCATCTGACAGTACGTGACCAAAGCACTTCCAGCAAAGTCCAAACACCACAAAAACTGCCGTTTCCTTCCGCAAACACCATAGTTGTGATTCTTGGTACGTCTGTGCTTTGCAGATTCCCAAAACAAATTGCAATTATTTGCTCTCTGCACGCGCAGGCCCCTAAAAACGCACATTTGCACTGCGCATGCATGATGACCCGAGATGGGGCTGTAGCCTGCGAAATTCCCGTGTCCATTGCTCCCCGCCTCCACGGTGGTGGTGTAGTCGGCGCCAGGGAAGGTCTCCGCCTGCGGGATACTGTCCCATGGCACTGGTCCCGCGTGCCGCGCTGCAAGGCATGGATTGCATGGATGCGTTCCCCCCGGTGAAAAAGCACAAGCGCTCGCAAGCTGTGCCACGTCTCAATTCAGCCCGCCCGCCCTTGTTGGCCCATCTAACACTGGAAGACTTTCCGTGCAACAACCCTTCCGGAAGCAAAGCAAACAATTTAGTAGCTGGGCTCCAGCTGCGCCATGAGCATCACAATCTTCGCGGTTGCTATACCATGCACATTGCTCACGCGTGGCATTCAACGAAGAACACGCCTACAAGCAAAGAAGCGCTCAGCTCCTTCCACATTGGATATCTTCCGTGGGAAAAGCGAAGTCGCGCGAGCCGATTTGCCCTCTGACATATCTCCCAGCCCCTGGCCTTGGTCTTGGTACCCCGTACCACGGGAATGGCGAGGAGCTCCTGAATGGTGGGTTGTGCTGAGCCCAAATCCCAAAAAACAACCAGCTTCCCAGAAAGTGACCAGTTCCGGGAAACTTCACCTAAAACCTGGAGGTTCCTTTGTCATGGAATCTCAGGTAGTTCTCGGCACCCACTTTTACATGAACCCACTATGTTTCTGCATAAACGGCCACTAGCAGAACGCTCAGATTTCTTGGAGATGACCGTTCTTGCAGCCATGAAGCAACAATCAAGGCGCTGAAGGACTGGCTAGCACCTGCTACACCTCAAATTACATCCATGGCGGACATGAAATGTAAGCGTAGGTGCAGGGGTAATGTCAAAATGGCGCTCCAAGGAATCAAATTGCCGTCATGGCTTGCTTATTGCCCCCCCCCCGCAAACAAAACGCGCAAATGCCCGCAAGACCGATATGTCAGCAACTCGTTGCGCTGGATATTGAGAAACGTGGCTCGGAAGGGGCTCATGGCCAGCCGAGCTGACCAAAGGGCGACAAGCACAAAAAGCTTGCAACTTGCATGGGCAGCCACGATGTGCATGTTGAGCGTGATCATACTTTGATCATACTCGGTGCCGAGCGGGCCTGCTCGATCGCATGATTCGGTGCATCAGGATATGTGATGTGCGCCTAGGAATATGATTAAACGCCCAAATCGTCCAATTCATCCTCAGATTGCCTTGACAACTAGAACGCATTAGAATGCCTGCAAAATCCCATCACATTTGAAGGTCCAGGAGGGGCCCAAGAGGGGAAAGCGCATTCACCAAAATCATCCTACATGAGGACGGAGCGCTGTGGGAAAGTGGCATGTTGCCCACTGGCAGTTCTGTGTGGCTTCTTCCCAGAGAAGCGTGGTATCAAACAAGGAAGCGCGAACATGCCAGATCTTGCGACCCTGCGCTTCTCCTCATAGACGCGGGCATACAGCTCCAAAATTGCCAGGACCTCTTCTTCTGCGGGGGCCTGCTAGCGGGTGGCAAAACAACAAGGGACTTTTTGAGGGACTGGGGAGGTCGAGCTTTGCAAAGGTTGGTTTGTCATAGGCTTCCCAAATGCAATTGCAGCTTGTCGTGCCTCCCAAGCAAGATGCTTGTCAGATACAAAGGTAGAACGCCAACCCAGAACTCAAGATAATCCTTTTGCGCCGTGCGCGACAGCCAACACAAGCGAAGAGGTGAACAAGCTTCTGAACATTCCACAAGATGTGTGCACTTTATTGCGAAGCACTGCCTGCAACACACGCCTGAGAATCAAGCCCCATGGGCGGAACGAAACCCGATGTGCAACAGGGCCTTAGTCGGAAATCTGTTTGTCAACGCGCCTTCTCTGCATAGGCTGTATGACCTTCCTGCCAGAGGAACTCCCTGGTGCGCAGGAAGGGCGTGGTCTGCTTCACCTCCCATCGGACCACGCTGCACCACCTGGGCCAAGAGGAGCCGCCAAGGTACCCCAAGGCCAAGGCTCAAGAAAACCTCAATGGACTCAGAAGGGGGAATGCTTTGACAGACCAAGGCCAGCAAATAAGATGTCCATCGGCTGGAGTAGCGCATTGGCATCAGCTCTGCTCAGAAAACCCGCACGCAGCACCCTTCAGTCCTGTTTCCAAGTGGTTGGGACCCTTGCTCAGGGACCAACACCAGAGCTTGAAGTGCTTCATGGATGGAGCCAAGCGTTTTGAAGGGCGGGGCTAGCGCAAGTAACCCTGGCAGCTTGTAAAGGAAGGGGTTCCGGCCATCCTTCAGCTGAGCTGCTGGTTCAGCCGGATGGGCAAGTCCCGGTGCGACTGGACCCAGTCTGCGTATGCCGCGTACATGGCGGTCTCGCTGGTTGGCCTGGACGTGGCGGGCTCAAATGGTGGCAAGCGACAGTGGTGCAGTTATTCGGCAGGACTCATCTTTCTCGGAGGTGCAATGGAATCCAGGAACATGCGCACCAACCGAATACTTACGCGGTACTGAAATTGTCACAACTTCTGAAAGCCAAGGAAACCTGTTTCCACATTGACCGCGATCCAAAATGATCATGGACAAAAACTTGACCCTTGCCCAGGAGCTTCGTCCCTCCTCCATCCTTTGCGGCAAGAGGGGAGCCTCCGCTAGAAAACCAACAACCGACGGACACGCACAGGCCTGATGGCCACGGGCTCATCGATCTCCTGGAGCCGCGCAACATGCCAGCCCCAGGCCTTCTCACGTCCACGAACACCCGGTGAATGTGCAAAGTACTGAAACTGGACTACCCCAATGGAAGAATGGGAAACCCCTAACGGAAACAAACATGCGGGAGTTGTGAAAGCCGTGCTAAACTTAGAGAAGCTAAAAGGTGTGGTAATACAGCTGGCCTCTTCCTGTGCTATCCTCAGCGCCTGCAACCTCGCCTCGTTGCCGAACTTGGTGACCATCGCGAGCTCCGGGGCAAAGTCGTCCAAGTGGTCGCTTTCCTTCTCCATGTAGCACTTCGGGATGAACCTCAAGTGGGTTCTCAAAACCTACGCATCCTGATATTAAAGCCAGCACCTGTGCCTGGGGCCCGCATCGGGGAAGGGGTGTAACACTTATCCCATCTTGCCGAACCGGTCAGGCTTAAACATCTTAAAGACACGCGCAACTCCGCGGGTTGTCTGAGGAAGCCGCATTGGGAAGTAGCAGTTCTCTACCTCGGCAGTCTCAAGCAGTGGCGTACTCATCAGCTCGCACGTTCTAAAAATGTTGGAACATGTCATGTGCCGCGTGTACACAATGGCTGCAGCGGTGAGAAGCCTTCTTTCCAAACCATAGAGCGTCAGGAAGCATCATACGGTTGGCGCATCAAGGACCCACTCACAGCAGAATCGTCTTGCACCCTCTCTTAAAGTCCGAGCAGCCCCCAGGAGCTTGATCTGGCTGTCAAGCCACCCCTGGGCAAGGATGCCATACTCTTGTCAAACAATGTCTGAAGATCGACAGGACCTCTTGGTGGACCACTTTCCTTTCTGGCGGGTTTCTTCGTTTATTTCCACCGCCGACCGCGACGTCGCATACGGCGCCAGCCTGGATCTGCTCCCAGAGTTTGTACGACCAGGGCCGCAAGATGAAGCAGCCTTTCACCTGGGATCGAGCTTAAGCTTCCCTTCACAGACAGAAGCCGCGGCAAACACGTGGCCCTGGTTGCAAATGGTTGCTTGTTGTTGATTTCTTGCACTCAAGCGATGAGGGAGATGCTCTATGAAAAGCATGCGTGTAGCTGGATAGGTACTGTTGTAATATGAAGGAACCATGGTTTCTCAAGGTGCGTGGAAAGCAAACAGCATGGGATCATATTACTGGGGCATTCAATGGTGTAAGTGCCAAGGTGGGCTTGCGCACATGTTGCAGAAGAACGCATGAGCCACACCGCAAGAGGCCTTTGGCGAGTGACGGCGCGCAAGAGGCCTTTGGCAAGGACTCTGGAAAGGACGGTGCAGCATATGGTTTGTCTCCAAGTCCGTACGGAATTCAAACAACGGGTAATTGCTGGTAGCTTCCAAGCAAGTTCCAGCCCTTCATTGAGGCTGTGGCTGGGTACTTCTCGATAAGCTGACCTTTCCCGATCACCTGCCAAGCAAGGTCCGCAGTGAATCGCCAGCACGAGTCAAAACCACAAACCACCTCGAGGGCCTCGACTCGCGCGCCGTTTAAAATCGAAACTTGCCCCTGACTGGACCCAGTCAAATACACCTCGAGGGCTCGGTGACAAGCCGCCGGAGATTCGCAGCTTTAAAGCTGCTCGAACGGTTGTTGCCTTGTCATTACGGGAGGGTGATGGTGGACGTGCATCAATCTTGCCACTGAGAGAATGCCTACGTGGAGACCGTGGCATGTCTGCTGAATTAAATGAAGTGCAGATAAGCAGCGCCTTTAAAAACCATTGGCGTGTGGTTCTGGCTATACGTACAGGCTTCAAGGTCGCATTATCATCCTTTCAAATCTGAGTGCTAGACCCCTCCCAGAACGTGCTGCAACGTGAGTGAGAGTTTTGGGCGCGCAAAGGCCCTGCCTCTGCGTACCACTCCGGGATGTTCTCGGCCTTCTTGTGCACCATGCCACCGCCCTTGGCCTGCTGCTTCTTGTCAACTTCAGTCGACTTCTCCGACTTGGCCTTCAGCTCACGTCCGCATCTCATGTGAACCCCCCCCCGCAGAGTTCCATGGGCAACGCTCAGGTCACGGCATCTGACTTGGCCTTTGGCGTGGCCTGCAGCACGGCAACGGAAAGGGGGCCACCGATCCGTTTGGATTCTGTGCTACCCACGAAAGCGCCCGAACTGGCAATACAAATTGAATACCATCCAACATCTTCAAGCTGGATGGGCAGTTGCCTAGGGTTACCTCTGTGAAAGTCTGGCTGGTTTCGTAGGAAATAGTGAGAGATCTTGACCAGTCTTCCAAGCAGTGGCAAGTCACTCAAGTCCTACTGAGTGTTCTCGCATAGTTCGAACCACTTCTGTATTCCCCATATTTGGAGGTCTTTCAAGCCATTTTCGATGTACTTCTTGGACTTACTTACCATGACTTACCTGGCACTATTTTCCTGAGAAAGACCGGATTTGAGGGAAAGTTTCTGAACGGATATGGTTTGCCAGCGACTGAGAAGGTTGGTGACGAGGAAAGCAGCTTACGCCACTGACCCCATCTGATTTAATTGTGGCCGGGTGCGGAGAATGCCGCCATGAGTCGAACTTGCACGCGTTCAACTCACGTCACATGCATCGGGGTCACTGGTTGTTGAAAAGGAAGCTCCGTCTCACTGAAGGGTGCCTTCAAGTCAAATTGGACACCGTCGACCTTCCAGTTGCGTCAAAGAAGCTTGAAAAACACTACAATGATGGAACAGCAACTGCCCTTGCAACTGGGCCAACGCATGTCTACCTAGCATAGCATGGCCGCGGTGTGCAGGGTTGGCCACGTGAAGACCTCGTTTGCTGACTTTTGGACTGCTGGCTCATGCAGGAATCGATGGACATGTTGGAGCCTTCGCCTTTTGGCGGCCCTTTTTCTTGACATCCCAAAGGCTGCGAGGCTCGTCTCGGCCTTGCCTCTTTGGCCGCCTTGGCCGCAGGCTTGTCTCCTGGCAAGCTCTCAGTGCTCAAGGTCCATGTTTGTGGCCTTCCTGAAATGCAGGTTTGAAAGTGGCCCCCTTGGGCCGCGAAGAAAACAATGCAATCTAATATGGCGCGAATATCAGTAGGCCAGGTCAGCTCGTGTCAGACTGGATACCTGTTTCGTTCCTGTAACCGCTTTTTGGAGACTGGTGCGGCAGTGTTGATCCGTATATCCATACCCATGTTTTCGAACTCGGGTAGAGGTCTTTGAGCTGCTGCCAAAACCTTAACTCCTTAACTGTACACGTTTGCCAGGTGGCAACAAGTCCGAGAAGCTCACCAACCACTTTCACAAAATGGGCTCAAAATGAAACAGCTGGTTTTAGTCCACCTTTCCATTTACCAGGGCAAGCCAATTTGGACCTTTCCCTATTTTTGAGCCACACCACGTCCAAAGGGACGAACGGACACCACCGCGCCTCCGCCGGCCTTGAGCTCTGTGAGCCGTGCCACCAGCGCCTGGACCTCCGGGGAGGCGTTGATGTCCTGGAAGCGGCCCATGTCTAAACCTAAATCACTGAATCAACCCCCAACAGGAAAGAAACCGGGTTCCTCTGCGGGTGTGGCTCATAATTAGGACCCTCTTTTTGCCTTCCCCCTCTCTGAAGAAGGGGCTCCTCAAAGACAAATCCCCAACCGGCAAAACCTTGGAATGTGACCGCAGACTGGGGAACCAGTCGGAACCAGTTCTTTCAGGAAGCCCTCAGACTGCACGCTTGCTTTTGTTTGGAGGGTAGATGCACATCAACTTGACCTTCAAACTGCCCAGTCCTTGCCGCTCTTGCCCTGGCCGGTGTGTACCATCCACGCATTGCTTGAATTTCAAGGAGTCATGTTGTGCCAAACCATGGCGACGCTGAAAGCACAAGAACACACTCCGCTCATCTCTGCTGCATTTCCGCCCACGGCAACTTAATGTTGACAAACACCTCCAACATGATCTTTGCAGATGCTGGGCCGACAGGCCTTTGCCTCAAGCAAGCAAAACCTAAGCCCAAACTATCGACAAGCTTGGCGGGGTCTTGTTGATCACTTTTCCGAGTGATTGTCAGAGACCCCACAAAGCAAAGGTTACCCGCACTGTGTGTGTGTGAGAGATGTGTGTGCCCGCCTCCTGCTTCAGCCTCTCCTTGAGAGCGCGAAGCTCGTCACCCACGGCCTTGACGGCTGCATCATCCACCGGACCTGGGCCGCCGCCTTTGTGTTAAAGCAGGTGAGGAGATGATCTCGGCCAGCTCGCTGCTTTACATAAAGTTTGGGCGTTTGATGACTTTGAGTTTGGGCCTAGGGAAGCTTGCACGAGGATCATGGCGGTTGTTGCCATTTGGCATGACAGTTCAGATTCAACTCAGATTCGGATGGGCTTTTTGGAGCCGTCTTCCTGAGCATTGGGCAGTAAAAACACAATTCTCACTTGTAACGCGTCGGGGTTCCGTAGTTAGCCAATCACCTTCTTGCTGAAGCTGCTGCCCGGGCAAACTTCCAGCGTGTGCCAACCCTCTATTGTGGTATTGGCTGATGGGCGCCAAACACACAATACTTAAATCTCGCCACTGCATAACGGGCGACTGTAGGGAAGCACGATTTCTACAGACCCTCGAGAATGCCCGACTATCCAACAAATGCTGGTTGAGTTCCAACCCCACTCAGACACCCCCAACACTCCAATTATTGCGACAAGCCTAAGACCATCAGAAGATCTCTATGCAAAAATGGTGAGACGCCTTTACGGGCACTTGGCAGTGGACGATGTGCTCAGCATTCCCATTGTCAACGCGGCTATGCTTTCCCCGTGTCAATTGTGCGAATCATATGCATTTCTCATCGATCATGCGCTGCCTTCAAGAGGTGATGTTGCCACTGGCTGCTTTGATCTCTTGCTGCCAGTGATGTTGTACGGCCACTCACGGCTTGATCTCACTTGCGACCCGATCGGGGCCTGAAGGTGTGGCAAGTCATGTATGACTTTAGTTCCAGTAGGTCTGTGTTCGGAAAGGACAAGCCGGTTCTGCACAGCAAGACACAAGGCGGCGGCTACTTTACTCGAAGCAACATGACTGATGCATTTCTAACACCACGGCACTACGGCACCGGCTTCTGCAGAAATTGTTCGGCACCAAGGCAGCTGAAAGCAAGGGCATGCCACTGGCGCGGAACACACCACAAGTGCAAGGTGGCGATCACCCCTGAAAACAAACAGAAACATTGTTCAAGTTCAGGCTCTGCAGGCAACATCCTGCCACCCCATAGCCCGGCCCCACCACATTGGCTCCCAGGCCCGCCGGCGCAGCCTGACAGGGCTGCTCAGGAAGTCTGACGTCTGCCATGCCCATCACAACTGCTCCTTGCTTCCCAAAACATGGAAAAGGACAACTCGCCGACATTAGGCGAATACTGATAACTTAGACCCCGCGTATCCCGAAAACGTTCATCGAAATGGTAAAGCCCAATCACGCCCCTAAGGATGCAGCATGGGCTATGTTGGGATGCGCTCGCTGCGTTGCAAAGCTATGAGGCTATGTGCTGCAGAGCAGGGCTGTGCTGACATGTAGTGTGTGTGTGTGTGTAAAGCTATGTTGAGACGCGCTGCGCAACACAGCCTATGTTGGCGCGCTGTGAAGCAAGACTGTGTTGAGATGTGCTGTGCAGAAAGGCGATGTGGAGACGCTCTGTGCGCTACGGCGATGTTGCGAGATGCGCCCCACAGCAAAGCTATGTGGAGACGCGCTGCACAGCACAGCCATGTTGAGATGCGGCGAAGCAACAGCGCAGAGGGATGACCCCCCGCATTGCCTTGCGCGAAAGATGACAAGCGAGGCCGCGAGGCAAGGCTGTGCTGAGCAGGGCTGCACAGAAAAGAGCAGAAGAGAGCTGCGCAAAGCTGCGCAGCAAGGGTTAGGTTGAGACGCGCTGCGCAGCAAAGCATGTTGAAATGCGCAGTGCATCAAAGTTCATCAAAGCCATGTTGAAATGTGCTTTGCAGCAAATCTATGTTGAGATGTTGAGATGTGCTGTGCACCAGGGCTAAAACACTTCGCCGTCGGGAAGCCTCGGGGCAGGCAAGCCCCGTTTTCGATAAGTAGTGGAAAGTACGGGCATGCTCCTTCTCGCAAAAGATCCATCAACCACAGCCGGGCCTTGGCCTCTGCCTTGGGCTTGGCCTCTGCCTTGGGCTGGGCCTCTGCCTTGGGCTTGGCCTCCGCCTTGGGCTTGGCCTCCTGTTGCTTGACGCCTGCAGGCAGCCAGGGGCATGTTAAGTGGCACTTGGAGCACCGAGTCTCTTCTGACATATTTGAGATCTTCCTCAACCAAGCAGCATCCACCGACACCAGGTCCTAATGCCGTGGGCAAATGGAGCTCTTAAAAGCACGAGCCTTTGCGACCAACAATGACGCGCGGCACTCCAACAGTCCACACTGACACTGCATCTCTGCCGGACGGGCCTCCACTTTTCTTGGCAACGGCATCGGCGATGAACCTGGCAGCGAGAGCACAAACTCGTACGACACCCTAGTAGGGACTAAGGGGCTTTTGGTCTTGCACCTTTACACTTGAGGCCAGGGGAGGTACACCCAGCTAGCGCCCTGCAAGGGCGATGCCGGCTCACTTCAGAGGTTGACAGGGGACGAACTTCACGAGAAGAAAGGACAATTGCCAAGCGCTCGAACAGCCCGGCGTCCTCGGGGCCCCAAGTGATTTCAAGGAACAAATTGCAAAACGCGTGGCAGAGTGCAATCAGAGCGCATAAGTCTTTAGACCTCGGGACAGAGCGAAGGGCGCAGAGAAGAGCGGAGCGAAGAGCTGGGAAGAGCGGGCAAAAAAAAGCGGAGAGGAGCAGAAACCGCGGCCTTGGCGCAAGGGGGGCGGGGGAGGGGGGGGGCAAATGAACACAATCAAAAAGTCATCTTCGGAAGCCAAATTGATTAGACCGAAAACTCATAAAACTGGTTCATCACAGCATGGTGGGGTTCTCTAGAAACTCCAGCCCCCTTTAGGGTCACCTTGAAGGTTACCTAGAACATCTCTTCATGCAGCTAGCTTCCAGCAAAAGATTCTGAAAGCCAGCGAGGTCATTGGTGGGCTGGAGTTGCATGGAATAAGGTCGTGTTGACCACATCTGCACACAATGATTGGTAAGACAAGGCACTTGTAGGGATCTGCGGGCTTCTGCTTTGCCAGCTGCGACACGATCTCCTGTGGTGAAACTGCTACAAGTCCCCTCCCCCCTTCGCGCCACCAATGAGCAAACAGGTGCGGGTGCTCTGTTCTTGAAGCCCACCCGGCTCCTCATGCGCTCATGCTTGTGGGCAAAACTTGCAAAATGTAAAATGCCGCCCAGTTGCAGCTAGAATTAAACAGTGACTTGAACCAAACACAGGAACATGCAACCTTTTCAGCTCATTAAACCTATGTTGACGGCCGGCTGCAACCGAAGCCGTCCGCTAAAGTGTCGTCCACGCCGTGCTTCCGGAAATAGTCCAACTCATCACCTGCAACTGGCAACATCAAACAAGGATCTCAGGAGGCCCCTGTCAAAGACTTGGGGGGGCAGTAGCCGAAGTTGCTTCCAAGGCACTGCTGAGAGGAGCGTACTTTGCAGGGAACAGGCCCACAGTCACCTTGGAGGCACAAGCAACGGGTAAGACAGGGGCGCTGACAACACGCCCAGCCAATGCCCCACAGTTCAGGCCATTTTCCGCTGAGCCACCAAGTGTGACAGGTCCATCGTGTGCGCAAGGTAGGCGGTAGGCGCTGGCCAAAGCCTGCCATCAAGCACGTGATCTCAAATGTTAAAACAAAACGGACGCGGGCAAATGTTGCTGAAGGGCATGGCACAAACCCCACCAAAAGTTGCTGAAGAAAGTGGAGCAACTCAAAAACAGCTGGCAGGAGACACCTGGAGTGCACTACACACTTCCCCTGCTACCACAGCACCAATGGCATAGCACCTGCAAGATCAACCGGTTTTCAGGCGAGCCATGTTAATTCAACGGAGGGTACCTAATCTTCTACAAGAGACCTTTAGCACAGTTAGATTCGCAGACACTCCATCTCATTGTATCTTGACAGCGGCGCCTTTGCCGGGACTTCGGAGCGAGGGATGAAGTGCTTCAATCCCAACTCCGCGTCCGTCGAGCCAAGCTGCAGGAGTCAGCAAGCAGCGAAGAGGGAAGGATGTCTACCAAAATCGCGTGTCGTACGATCAATGCTCATGGCGTCAACTGAAGTTCGGAAAGTAATTCTTCAACAAAAACATGGAACGCTGAACGATTGCCTTCAAGAAAGGCCTTCTGACAGAAAGGGCGCCGCCTGTCACTTTTGTTCTTGGCGGTCAAGAGTTCATGATGCGCTTGCGACTTGAAGGAATCCTAATAAGGAATGGTTTACCAGGCAGGGGACAAGGTTGACCTAGCCCTTGGTCAAGTAGTAGTCATAACCTGCGCAGGCCCAAGACAAGCTCGACGTGCGAGAATGTGCTAAACTGCTGAGGCCAGAAGGCTACCAACCAGCAGCCTTTGACACTTTCCCATATTGTCTTTTCGGCGCTCGGTTGTGATCTTTAAATTGTCACTTAATGCTTTCCGAGCAACAACGAGTGACACCTAGCCTGCACGTGTGGTGTCACTTGGCAGAGGCACCACAAGCAAAGCGCAGTTCTCAAAACCAAACTAGAAGAGGGTGCTCAGCAATGCTCAAGTCTGCCACCAAACGTCTCTTCCTGTGCCCGTGGCTGCCTGCTGTTCGCGTGTGGCACGTTCGTTATCAGGCCCTACGGCTCGGTGGAAGGAAAGTAATCAACAAAAAGGCGAATTTGGCAACGGGCCTCACATTTATCAGCACTCACTGCTCTTCCGCATGTGGGCAAACACAAGTGCCTGGCCAGTTTTCGACGGGCAAGCGAAAACTGCAGAACAGGGCTGTGGAAAATGACCACCTCTGTGATACAGCACAAAGGTCTCTCAAAGACAACCGCCCCCCCCATTTAAAAGAGGGGATTCCCTTGTATCACAGAAGTGGAGATAAACTCCTTGATCCCACAGCCCTGCTGCAGAAGGGCATGATCGTGGGACCGGAATGAGCTAAGCTGTATCTGAAGAAAGGGGGGGCGCTTCTGCAATTAGGCCCTTTCCTTCCACCGGCGCGACTGGCCCACAAGCCTCAGGACTCAGGGCCTGACAGATGCGGTTGGCAAATTGGCTTCCAAGAGGGACAAGTGGAAGAGCAATGCGCCAAACCACGGACGGACTCGTAAGGCTTGCTCATTTGGCTATAGCAAATGTGGTCGGGGGGGGGCGGCTGCATTCCACTGCCTCCCCCTCTCCCTCTGCCAACGAACGGGATGTAGCGTAACAAATGTACTGCGTAGTTGACAGTGGGTTTGGGGAACCCAAAGTGATCTGAGCGGTGCTCAAAACGTGTCGTTTAAGCATACAATATAGGCCTCGAAAAACCTTACACCAACGTAGTAGCTCACGCGATCACCCATGCCACTGCTATGCAACACGCTCACGCGGCCTTCGGCCGGGGACACGCAAAAAACAAACAACAGTGCTTCCCAAGGTTGCGAAATGCCGCACGTCGTAGGGGCTGGCCTGGCGGCCCCGTCTCCTTCGCTCAATGCGCGGCTGCGCGCAGGTCTGCAAGCACCGCCTCACGCTGACGGGTGCCTCCAGCCTATTGCCTGGCCTGCTCAGTTGACTGGCAAGCAAAGCGCGTTGTTGTTGGCCCCTGGCAGAAATCATAAAGACACCTACCAACAAAACGTAAAAAAAAAGTTGGGCAACTCGACACTAACTTAGTAAGTTGGCGGATTGCTCACCCCGTGTCCCACAGCCGAATGAGCATGTGCTCAAACAAGGCGCCCCTTTTCAGACCTGTTAATTAGAAGTTTGCACGCCCCCAACCATGTCCCAAGCATTGTCATCGCACGCCAAGTCCCGAAACTCGAACAAGAGGGGTCACGCAATCACAAATATGATTGCCTCTGGGTGCTGTTGGCAACATAACTCTCTGGGCACCAAATAAAAAAGCTCTATTGCCTTCGAAGGCTGTAGTATCTCACCGAAAGGTGACCTTTCCCCCCAGGACCTTCAAACTGAGTCACGAACAATCGACTGCTCGCCAGTGCATTTTTCGGAATGTGGCACTGGCCAATAGCGCACAGGACCCAGCAACAGTGACAAGTGCACTTGGATTGGTGCTCCGTTCTTGCACACAAGATTTCCATGAACCAACTTGAAGCTTCTGCGCTTCCAAATGTTTCAGGGCGCCCTGCACAAGGCGGCACCCATCCCTCCGGCATCGTGCTTTCTGCGGGCGCCTCCCAAACTTCTGGGCCCGTGCCGCTGGCGCACTCCGCAACTCCAGGGTCAAAGTTGCAGATCAGGTCCTGCCATGCGGTTGCGCAAGCACGCCTCACTCAACAAACAAATGGTGTCCTGCGACTGGGGGCCCTCTTTTTTGTGCGGATGGTTCACTCACGCCACGAACGGCAGCCAGCATTCCCCGCACGGACGCCTCGGGGGAGGACTCGCTCAAGAGCTGTAGGGCTGCGGCCTCAGTTCAGGGAACTTCTCTTTGGTGCACCCTTGACGTTCATACTTGATGATCATTTTGGGGACCCTTCCTATTGATGATCATTTTGCATTCATGTACGCATGGCTTTGGCAAACGTTGCGGTTTGGGGGTTGTTTCAAAGGGAAACCCAAGCGAAACCAAACAGAACCAAGCCACCAAACTAGCAAACTACCAAACCGCCCAATTTGCAGGTTCCACACCTCATCCCTCCCCTCGCCCTCCTACTTCCCACGCCGAGCTGCAGCGGCGCGGGCGTCATCGCCCCGGAGGCGCCGCTCAAGCTCCAGCCTAGCTCACTCTGCGGGCAATTCCACCGGTTCTTCCCACTTTTCGTGTGAAATTTTGGTTGTCCCCCAAATGCCTGGATTTTTCCCGGTTCCTGGGCCAATTGGGTGGCGTTCCCACTTTTCGTGAGAAGTTTGGGTTGTCCCCCAGTTGCCTGGATTTGTTCTTGCCGTGTGGTTCTAGCCCGCTGAAACTCACATTCACTTCAAAGGTGATGTCCTGCACGTCTCAACCAGTTGCTCCCTGTTGCATTGGGGTGCCCCGCTCGCGTCTTCTCAACTCGCTGGCGCGCGCAAAGTCCTGGTCACAGCCAGCGACTTGATACATCCTGTATGACGTAAGCAGGCGTTCCTCGCAATTGAAGGACTCCCACAAGGTTGCGTTGCCGTTGTCCCCGTGATCCATAAAAATAGCTCAAGAAGGTCCGCACATTTCCAGCCCACTCACTATGCTGGAGGTACCGGCTCTTTCTTGAACGGCCATTCCAAGGTAAACCTCGAATACCGAGCCTTGTGCAACAAGTGCCAACCTACAATACTGGCTTAGAGTTGAGAGGCCCTCCTGGAACATTTTGTGATGCATCGAGGGCATGCCATAGGACGCCATTGGTTTCCAGTTGCCAAAGATGAATCTCAACATCCATTCACTGACGCAAATTGTGCGCTTGTTGGATGACCTAGCTAATGAACCACCACCCACACACACACACACCATTTTTTGTGTTGTCTGGACCGCCTCCTCCTCCACTGCGTCTTGCTTCTGCCGCTTCACAGACTGAAGCTCCTTGCTGCACTTGCCAAGTGAAACACGAGCAATCTCCGACTGACATAGGCGTGGCCAATGCCCCCCGCGACTTCCAACGAATCAGGCTTTTTGCCTATGGGCAATTCTTGTGAGGACATCTGTGCTGGCAGCTGTCCTCCTCCTCCTCTGGGCTTCTTTGCCGCTTTCTGTCTTCAGCCGCCTGGCATGCCCAAGCTTGACATCAAAACTGGGAACTCCTTCACTCGCGGCCAGTCTTCACGTCTTCCAACATGGCCGTGGATGGTGCCGGGGAGGCGGGCTGTTAAGGTTGGTGGTGCTTTTACTTGCAACTCACCAGGGTTCTTCAATGGAATTTCAGCACCCGACCTGCCTTTGAAAGCACAAACAAAAACAAGCAAGCAAGCGAGCGAGCGAGCGAGCAAGCAAGGAAGCAAACAACCAAACGGGCGGACCGACAAACACAAACAAACAAACAAACAAACAAACAAGCAAGCAAGCAAGCACGCAAGCCAGCAACCATACAATCGAAAGAACCAAGAAAGGCCTAGCTGTCGAGAGAAACCGGCCCTCCTGTCCCCCAAAATTACCTCTGCCTCGCCGGCAGGCACATCTTTGCAGGCCTCGAAGCTGCGACAAACGAAAGCATGCCTCTTAGCGCAGGTGCATGAGTCCCTGTCCTGATTTCTGAACATTCATTCATATTCCTCCTGAGAGCTCATACAAAAGGATTATATTCACTTTATTCACTTCGCTCTCTCCGTTCAAGCTCTGGGGTCTGTCACGATGATTTCTGACCGTTGGTTGCTTTCGGAACTTCCAACATGGCAAGGAAGGAATCACATGATGCAGTTGCGGACTTGTGAAAGTAAGCAAACAAAATAACAAACAAAATCAAACAGAATCAAGCAAACGAACAAAGTCAAGAAACATGAAACCAAATATCAAACAAAGCGCCGAGCATTTTGGGGCTCCAGGCCAAGCAGGCCCTCCGTGCTGCAGTGAGTCGCAGGGTGGCTGCTGGCTCCCGCCTCGCTTTGGGGGTTTCGCACGTCTCGTTTCGCAAAGGACACCGACATCCAAGCCTCGGGTCTCAGAAGTCCCTCACGTTTGCACGGAATCTTTGGGGAGTGACTCTACCTCCCGAAACCCCGAATATTGGCTCAAAGATCCGCATAAGGGGGAGCTATGAGGTCTTGCAAAAAGACCAAAGCGTGCGCACTTTTGGGAAGGAGCCAACTCAGGAAACCGCACCTTCAATCAAGCTGAGCATCATGGAATATCATGGAGGAAGGAGCACAGTCAAGCAATGTTGTCAAGCCCCCGTACCCCAAATGCCGCCAACTCGTGTGGACCATTGCAGCCATGTGTACAGCCGGTATATTTATAGCAAAAGGGTATGGTGATGTATGGTGCCAACCCAGTTTCACGGGAGCGCTCGGCGCCATGCTGCTTCAGGCGGTGTGCAAGGTCAAAGTCCTCCATCTCCGCCGCCTGAAAGCGGCAACCATGAGGACCACCCCTGTGAGGCAAGCCAAATCAAAAATGTCCATCCGGAATCTGAAGGGGGCGTCACGTTGTCCGACCGGCCCTAGAACTCGCAGAGCTGCAGAGCCAGCCCCGCCTTCTTCTTCCGGCATTGCAGCAGGGCGACCTCGATCATGCGCAAGGACCTTTGCAGGATGCCGCTGGGTGACTGCACAAAGGAACCGGCGCCGCGCGCAAAAAGGGGCTTAACATGATGTTCTTTTCCTCTAGCGTGACGGGTGCCCAAACTGCATGAAAGAAAAATGCTTAAAGACATCTGGTTGGTGATCCCTGGTACCTGTGGCCATGGGGCTGACTTTTGCAGGGCTTCACCCAGCGGCTCCAGGCCCGCCAGAAGCGCTGAGTCTGCGGGCCATTTGCGCAAAGCATCTGGACCATCCTGAGCGAGCGGCGAAGTCTGCCACTGAGCCTATGCATCTGCCAGCCGGTAGGCTGTATGCGGTAAGTTGTGCCGAAAGCTGGCGGCTTTGAGCACGCTACCAACTCCCAGATCGTCTCTTCATCAATTGGCTCCCATCAAGTCAAGGTGTCCCAACTGTCTTAGCCCATGGATTTAGGGTTGTCCCCCGAGTCCCTTCTCTCTCTTTCTTTCTCTGTGTCTCTCCCTGTTCGACCATTGTGGCGATATCTTACATACCATGAGCCGAGGGCTCCTCAGATCCAACTCAACTTCCCACCTCGGGCTCCTCCTTCACTTCCGTGCCGGGCATCCTCAAGCGGCACGTTGCTTTTGGTGTCGTGTGGCATGCTGGGGGGGGGGGGGGCTGCCATGCAAGCTTCCGGCTACTGGATCTCTGGTCGTAAAACTTGGATCGAACAACCAGACCATCATTCTCAAAAAGGAACCCAAACGAGCATGTTGCAACAGTGGGTGCAAATGGCTGGCCCAACCCCAGCCCTGACTCCTTTCCATGCTGCGGGATATGAGTCCGCAGCTCTGCTTTTCTCCTCTTCCCCTCCGTCTCGGTGACGGCCATGCACACCTGAAAGGCGCACTTGAAGCGCGGCGTATGGAAACATGTGCGCACAGAGGTGCTCCCAGCCAAGCGGAATTTGGTGTCCATGACCGGTTTCCTGTGGAAAGGTCCGTTTGGCTTAGCTTTGCGCACCATCAAGAAGGGCGTCCAGGAATTTCGGACACCCCCATCTGCGTCCCACTGGGTGGGCCATGAAAGCACTTAAGCGTCCGTCTCTCTCCAGGACCCCGACCGGTGGCAGCGGCGGAAATACGGGCGCCTCGGTGGGTGGCATCATGAAATGGATCTGCCTGTACGTTGTTGTTTGTTTCCCCTTTTTTATAAGGATTCACTGGAGGCTTGTGAGTGGATAAGGAAAACCATTACTTGCAACGGCCAACTGATCAGCAAGGCTTCAAGGCCTGTATATCAATCAATGAAGGCTTTCCTTGACATATTTGGGGGTTGTCCTATATTCCTTTGCCCAGGGTTGGGTCCTTGGGCCGCACTTGCGCGGCACTTGCGCGGACTTGCGCGCGCACAGTGACGCAGAAACTAGGTTTCGTTAACCTCGGTTTGCGAAGTTTTCGTGTGGATTGCGCGCAAGCTTTTCTAAGCAGTGCGTTTGTCGTTCACACAGCAACCCACAAACGCTCTTCCCGCCGAGGTCGCTCCTAGCAATTCTCGGCGAGCAACATACTCTTGACCAACAGAAGAACACCACACAGCTTGGACACAACCTGAAAGACGCAAATTGCATGTTGCGGCTGCCTATCCATTGGTTGAACCGCGCTGCTAAGGACATGCGAGACAGAAAATGTCTTGCTGGGGCTTCTCGCGCTTGCGCGCCACTTGCGCGCGGCTTGCGCGCGGCTTGCGCGGATTTTGTCGTGTCAGCTGCTGATTGTTGAAGTCATGACCGCAGAAGCTTTGGCTTCGTTTGGCGTCTGACTGAAAAACACGCCGCACCTTTGCAAACAAGCTTGTGGCCTTCTTATGACCCAAGCAACATTCAAAAAGCACAAGTACAGTGAAAAGATATCACCTCCTTTCATAAAGCTGGGCAACGAATCAGTAAATGAACCTTCAAAACTGTAACCTTGCGCGTCCCTTGGGCCGCACTTGCGCGCTCCTTGCGCGCGCACAGTTTTGGACAACTTTTACTTCTCCCCGTTCGGCGATAATTAAAACCGAAGACTGAGGTTTTAGGACGGCCCTCATATGTGCGATGAGGCGTGATGGTGGAGACAGGCAACTTAGGACATGCCTAGCAGCCGCACAAGTGCTTCAACAGGTTTTGCCATGGTCGATGCGCGCAGCATTTTCGAACAAGTCACGCCCAACTACATGGGGCTGCAAGCCAACAAAGGAAGGCTTTCATGAGGAGATTTACCGGCCCCAGCACAAGAGTGCATGCAAATGGCACTTTGTTCAAGTTGACTGTTGCTGACACCGGCGCGCACGGCTGTGAACTTTACCGGGCACCTGGCAGAAGCATCGGAGTCTCCAACCGTGATCCCGTCCTTGGCGCAAATCCAGTGGTGCTGCGTCACATATACCGGCACACGTCGCCGACACAAATGCCAAATGCAAACCTCACAGGACTCAAGCTTCGCCACGCGGCACCCCGCAAGCCCCCCCTGGCAGCATCATTCTCAAGTTGGGAATCGGAATGAATGCCCTCCTCGAGGCCAAAAGTACTCTGGTGGACCAGCTTCTTTTGAAGGCCTGTGCCTGCGTGTGGTCATCCGACTGTTCAATAAATGGAAAGGGCTTGCGACCTCTCTCACAAAAACCAAAAAATGTGTCCCAAAGGAGTCCAAGGAGTCCAAGGAGTGCAAGTGTGCCTGAGCCCAAGGCCGGCATTCCCAGGACCAAGGATGGGAAATTGCCGTTCAGCCAGGCGGCGTCGGCTTCCACCTGCAAAGCTCAAAGGTCGAGCTAACCCTCCGCCACACGGCATTCTCGCTTCTCCAGCGTGGCTTGGTTCGCCGGCCTGGGGTAGCCTGCATGGCTCCGCCGATCCGCAGAGGCCAGCTTCAGCACTTCCCAGTTGCACCATTGGGGAGGACATGTGGGCCAAGCGATTTGCCTCCACGCCACCAACTGGCACGCGGCCTGGGGTCTTCGAAAACAAGTCTCTTCTAAAGCCTCTGGTGAGTTTCATGTGGTAGGAGGGCAGCTTCCCCATGGCTGTCTTGTGAGAAGCTCTTGCTGGCTTGGCTGTTTGGTTGTGAAGGGAAGCTAACGTGAACCAAAAGCCGCTTAATGTTGACCCCGGATTAATAAACCCCTGTTAATTAATATGGGGGGGTTCCCCTCCAAAAGTGATACATCCCCACTAAAACCAGGGACACCCCCTTCTTAATAACCAGGGGTGTATTAATCCGGGGTCAACATTAAAGGATTCCCCCCTCCTTCCGCACAACAAAAAACCACTCGCCTTGGAGGGCTGGTCCAGGCGCTGGAGCATCTCCTCCGCCTCCGCCAGGCGTTGTCGGTCGACACCTCGCGAGATTTCGGCCACTGGCGACCCGGAGCCCGACGCCTTCGAACCCAAGACAGAGACGGTAGTTCCCCAAAATAAAAAGGAAAAATCTAGTCGGAGGGTGCTGGTAAGGATTCTAGTTGGGAACAACTAGAAGTTCCGGCGACTCTGTGCCTAAGTAGATTTAAACATGTCCAAAGGCGAATCGAAATCGATTTTCTCAAACTAGTTGAGAGGTGCTTTCTCCGTCCCGGCTTTCGGACACGCGCCAATCATGAACGTTGTCAATCAGCTGCAGCTGCGAAACACGTAAGGGTGCTAGTTTGGAGCATGCTTCCTTTCCCCTTCTCTGCTGTTTATCTCTCTCTCTCTCTCTCTTTGTTTTGTCTCTTTCTCTTTCTCTTTATCGTTCTCTTTCTCTGTCTCCTTGTTTCTTTATCTTTTTCCCCTTCTCTTTTGCATTCTCTTATTCTTTCTCTTTGCTTCTTGCTACTCTTTCGTCTTTGTCTCTTCCTCGTCTTCTTCCTCTTTGCTTTCTCTCTATACTTATCTTCTCACTCTCTCCCACAATAGTCAAACATGCAAGAAACACCAAGGTGCTCAAGGCTGAACCGCTGAAAGCCCGCGCAGGTTTATGCGAGCACAGCGAAAAGAGCAAAAACACGAGTTGTTGAAGGTCAGCCCACCGAAAGTCCGCAAAGGGTTCCAAACAACTCGAGTTGTTCAAGGTCGACCCCCAAAAATCCGCAGCGAGTTGCGCGAGTGATGGGAACAAAAAAAATAGTTTTTTGAGGGTCGGCCCACCAAAACTCCGAAAGAAGGGTTCCCCGATTGAAGGCTGCGAAGCAATGTGCCCGGCTGTGACAATGGTCCCGTCTCCAAATGCGTTCGAAACCCGCTCCGGGGCGAATTCACTTATAGGGCAACATGTTCAGCCCGCTTGTATTCTCCGGTTCTCGTTGTTTCACATGTTCGCAGCTTTTTCGCACGCAGTGCATCTAGTCTCAATTGAAGAGCAAGCACAGATTCATGAATTCCTAGATATAGTTCCAGTACTACGGAAGCACTTGTAAACTTCCTTTGATTAGGGCCACTTCCTCAGGCATTGGCCCTTAGCAATGACAACAGCCACCAATACAGCTTGGGACAACGTTGGCATGTGTCAGCCACCATGTGCCGACCAACATGTCTCATCACCCGGCTTCCCAAGTAGCCTAAGACCCATCCTGAGCCTCCACACCAGCATCCCTGGCTTCCTCGTAGGCAGCGCGGTAGGTTGCAGCATCTTCCTGCCAGGCAGCAGTGTTTTGGAAGGTCTGTTTTGTTGAAGGTACCTTTCGTTGGCTGGCTGAATGCACCCCACATACCCAAATGGGTAACAAATATGCAACACATAGAACGACTCAGGAACTGCAGACGTCAGCCAGAACTGCCTCTTCAGAGCAAAGCAAAAGCCTTGGAGCCCAGAGCGCCGGCCATCACGTACTGTGGCCCGTGACAGGAGTTACTCAACAAGCAAGGAAAGCAAAAAACAATAAATGAGAAACACACATGCAAAGAAACGGAACGGAGGGACAAACAAACAAACAAACAAACAAACAAACAAACAAGAAACAAAGAAAACGAAGACCTGGCCGGCCTCCTGCGCCACGCCTGCCAACTCCAAGGCAGCCACCAGGACCTTTGCGCGCAAAGAGACGGAAAAGGGCGAGGAAAGGGGAGGGGAAGGGAAGGGCAGGGGAGGGGAAGGGAGGGGAAGGGAGCCTCCAATGAAATGTTTTCCTGGCGGGCGACAACCTTTTCCGCAGAAACGCATGTCACTTGATGTGACCAATGAGCTGCCCCCGAAATCCAAACTGTCCTTATCCAACAACCAAGCCATCCAATTCCACGACCATGGTTTTCATCGCATAATATTTTCAGGGGTGCCTCTTTCTTGCAGGTCAAGGGGGCGGAAATCGCCAACACGGGGAGTGAGCTCCATCCCCACGCGGCAAAGCCTGTCAAGTGGCCCCGTGGCCCACAGCCGCGATAGCATCTGGGTGTGACCCAAAGAGAGTGACCCATACAACAATCCAAGCTGTTGTTCAGGGCAGGGTCAAAAGCAGCGAATTGGGACTGTGCCAAGTAGAGCGACGTATTCAAGGCAACTTGGCGGCTAAACACAGGCCTTCGCCAGCAGAGATACTACAATACATTAATTTCATTGGATGCTTCCCCCCTGAAAACTCGTCATCCATCCACCCCATCAAACCCCACATGCCAACAGTCACGTGAATGCATCCGGCACGTCCGCGGCTCCTTTTGAATTCGGAGATGGCCGGCCGCACAGCTGCAGCTCTTCGTCCACAAGCGCGAACGCATTGAAAGCAGGGCTCGCCCCCGGCCAATGGATGAGACACCAATCCCATGAACGCCCATGACACAGCAATTCTTGGGAAGCCTAGAGCACATGTCCGTGCCAGTGGGATGAGACCTGGCAGCTCTGGCTCAAGGTCATCAGCTCTATGTACAAGCCCCAAATTGCCTGCCATCCTTCTTGGCACCTTCCACCCCTCAGTCGAGCTCAAAGCCTGCATCCTGGCATTCGGTTCGGCTCACCATGAACCATGTGCCTCGCCTCGGACGCAAGCAGGGGGCAAAGTACAGAGTTGTCCGCAAGCGGCCGTGCGCTGCATCATTGCTGAGCACACACACACACACCTTGCACAACATCCCTTCCCCATCAGCAGCTTGTAAACTGCAAAACCGCGGTGGCTGCTTCTATGAAACCGCGGCCTGATTAGCATGATTAGCCTCCTAGTAGTGAAATACCGCTGCGCGCCCTCCTGCACAATCACGAACTCCAGCTTTTGCTTCATCACCTTCCACCTGAGCCATAAGGTCAATGGCCTGAAAACTGAACACCTGGGCTGAAACGATCAGTTTCAGAGCTCAGTGGCCCGAACCATTGTCCGTCAAGCAACTGGAAATGTGTGACTGCACAAGCAGTTGCAGACCATTCTTCTGCACGTGTCAGGACGCACGCCGAGGGCTTGCAGTAACTTCGCAGAACAAACACATTCCGGTGCGGATCAAGTTTGCCTGGCCAACCGTGGGGCTCCAAACATGGAACTCGTGCTTCTTGTTTGAAGGTGTTGGGGCAGCGGCCAAGCGGCCAACCCTTCCGAGTGAAACATGGATACACATCGAAAGGTCTAGATGGCTTAACTTGGTCCACGAGGCATGTGCCACCAAAATAAACTGAGAAAGCAGCTATCAAGAGCCAACTTAGGCCCATGGGAGACCCCTAAAACTTCTGCGAAGGCAGGAGGGCTCTAATTACGCAGGCTGGCTGCCTCCAAATAGGAGTCCCCAGCACAACATGGGTAGTTTCCCAATTGAACAACTCGAAAAAGGTATCCACATGAACCCTCCCCTCGTTTCACCTAGACAGAGCAAAACCTCAAGCCGGTCATGTGAAGCGATGGTGCAGCTGGAAGGGTAGTCAAGCAGCAAGCTAAGTTTCAGACGAGGAATAGGTTGGCAGCTTCAGGGTATTGAAGCCTTGGCGAATCAAACATATCCCCCTCTCACATGCCGGCCTTCGAATGCAACCGCGAGGAACCAACGTCTTGGGGTCACAGACCTTCTGCACAGCACCGGCAAAGGGTCAAGTCTCTTCAGATCTTAGTCTAAGCCAGGCATCATGTGGAGGCTGCAGGTAGCTTCTCGGAATCGCTGCGGATGTGGACCTGCATCGCCGGATATTGCCGTCCAATAAGCGATCCAGAAAGAAGCACCAAAAGAAAGGCCCCTCCACGGCCAATGTGTTGGACAAAGTTCAGTTCAACTTTGAAGCCAACATAGAACGCACAGCCTCATGGGTGCACTAGAAGATGTTGAGATATGGAAGGAGAGCATGATTGGAGAGCATTGCCGAAAACAAAAAGACCAACAAACAATGCATCCACTGAAGCACAAAACTGACAGCGAAATAAGGGGAACGCACGCCTGCGCTCTCTGCTCTGACATTGGACTGCTTGTTGGGGTGCGCCTTTTGGTTTGCCATGCGAAGCGCACGGTTTTCAGACATTCCCTTACAACTATTGCAGTCCTATTGCCTCCCAGTCCGCACGTGTCGTCCTTTTTTGTTCTGCTCTTGCGCTTCGAGTATGGACGCCTCCCTCGATGCTTCGGCACTTGGGAAGCAAAAACAGGCCCTGCGAGGCCAACAAGTTGATGAAGCCGCATGAGCTGCCACTCCCGCGTGCTTCGGCACAACTGGCGCAGGAGACTTGAGACAGTCCCAGGCGTCTATCTGGCGCTCACTCGGTCAAGGTCTCAAACCATCAGAAATATCATTCCAATCGAACATGGCGTGCCACAAATCATTTGACCAGGGCCTCGCCCTCTGGGCCCGGCAAGTCCTCGGTCGTTGACGCATCCTCCAACTTAAAAAAGGAAATCGCAATGTCAACACGGGCCAACCATGGCCAGGCTGGCGCGACAAAATCTTATGCGGGCATTTTAGTTGGCCATACTTTGGCCAAGCAGTTCGCATGTCCAAGCAGGGCCTGCAGCAGGGGCCATCAAAACTGGGGCCGCGGGCGCAGAAGTGCAGCAGCGTGAACATGGTGGCGCCTCACACGGACTGACGGGAGCGGAAATTGCAATGCTCACGGGAGCTTGTTGCGCTGGCCCTGGGAATTGTGTGCTCCCTCGCTGGGCTCCTCCAAATTGTACCAATTGACCATGGGCTAGATGACAACCCGTGCCTGCCCCAGGTCCCATTTCATACCGAAGACATGCAACAAACATCTGCGTGGCGCGCATGGATCAGGAAAGTCTGGACTCTGGACACAGCTCTTGGGGCGCGGAATTCTTAACGCCTACCTTCTGCCTACGCAGCGTGACACCGAAGGTTTGCAGTGGCAATGCCCATTCTCCATGCTAAATAGGTAGTGGGTAAACTTCCTCCGGGTCCTCCACACAGTGTTCAGCTTATCGTACGACCTCCAGGCCACTATCTGCGACCAGGCCACAAATGAACCAGGGCAGCATCGTGCTAAGCAACCTGAGCTGAGGGATGCTCAAGGCAAACTCAACATTTCGCTCAACAGGCAAATTCAGCGCTCAGACGAAGCGGCGCGTCGACAAGGGTAAAAGCGGTTGGGAAACCTTCCACGACTGCGTGAGGAAGGGTAGGCAAAACACAAATAGGCGTTGCACTTTGCAGGTTTTGCCCGTTGTTTAGTGACACAAGTCCAGGTGAAGTTGATCCGAGAAATTCGGTATTTGACAAATACCGTGTTTTGAAGCTTATGAATGCATGTCCTTTGTCACTTTCCAAGGCAAGTCCTGCAGGTCTGCTGAGGATTGACTGGTCCAGCCAAAACCGAAGGGGAACATACGCCAGAAATCAATCCATTAGAAAGGAACTCGGCGGGCCATAGCAAGGCAGGGGAACAGCAGGGCATTCATCACGAGAAGATTCAGCTGGATTCAGACTCCGGGCGCCCTAGCTACGATGCTTTCCATCGAACTTCTGATTGCAGAACACCCGCAGCGAATCCTAGCTGGGTTTGATTGTTACTTGTGAAAATCAAACAAAAACAATCACCTCAAGCCGACTCGATACGCGCGACAACGCGCAGCCACCCCCCCCTCATCACGCCGAGGTGCAGCCCTTGGCCCAGGGCTTCGGCGTTCAGGAGCCGCTGGGCATCTGGCATCTCTGCCAGTGGCGCCTCCTCTCGACCGAAGGGATGGCCACGAAAGGGCTGGCAGAAACGGGGCCGCGGACAAAACGGATGGGAGCAAAAAGAAGTAGGGGCAAAACAGTGGGATAAAGAAATCGAGGCGGTGCCGCCTGTCAGCGCTTCACCTTAAAGTTTTAAGGCTGCACTGCTTCGTTTCTCAGTCAGTTCTGCTTTGGCCCTCCGCCATTCACTTCTCATACATACTTGGGACTTGCACCACACCTCGCCCGCAAATAACGCACAAAACCGGCCGGGCCTGCACGCGGAAATGCAACATCTGGGTCGCTACGACGGAGACGATCATAGGGCCCAGGGTCTGGCCGCTCATAGACTCCTTGGTCTTGCGAAGCCGCTCACCGGCACTACGACCGCCCACCGTGTCAGCCCTTGAGGGCCAACGGAAACCCGTGGGAAGGCCTCTCGTCAGCTTCCACGTCGAGTCGGAGGAGTGCAGTGAGTGTGGGGGGAATGGGTGGAAAAACTTCGCACGGCTCGTCCTAGGAGCATCTCCAAATTCAGCCACATCCTCTCATTTGGCGATATGGCATCTTCTCTCTCAGCCCAGTTTCCACCCGCGGCATAGTCCCCTATCCAAACCGCCTGATATTGCCAAACAAATCCGAGAGCCAACCACATGCGCGGGCTTGCCTTTGGTTTCCTTTTTCGGCCCCGAACGACATTTACCCTCCAAAAGCGAGGGCCATCCCCGCCAATGCGGGCGCCCTCCGGACGAGTCTCGAAGCTGTACTCCCACGCCATCACGGAGGCCTGGACGGAGTCTGACTCGAACTTAAGGCTGACTGGCCAATCAAACCATGACCACCTTAGGGTCTTGAACAAAGCAATTGTGAGAGGCGGGCGGGAATAAAGCCAAAGTTGGGGCGCAATCTGGATCTTTCCAAAAGGATGGTAGTCGTCCAAAAGTATCCTCCACGATTGG